GAAAGTTTGACGATTTGGTAAATGGCTGCATAATCATTCATCATATGACTATGTGAAGCATCATACAGTGTTTTCAAGTATTCTCTATAGATTTTGTTCACCCTATGTGGAACCAACTTTCAGGTGCTGATGGTATGCCTCCGCAAGGACTTAACTTGGGAGGATAGTGGAGCTGAAGCGCTCATTTTGCTTTTCTTTTGTTGTAAAATATTGTTATACAAGCCTTAAGCTTTTAATTTGTTTTTGGGCTTGACCTATTTTAATTTGAACCAGCATCAACTTGGAAATATGTAGCCACTAAGGCATGAACCTATGTGTATTTCTTTTCGTTTCCCTGCATTGATATAAGTCACATGCTATGGATCACAATCTAGGATTTATGAATGTAATAATGTGTATTGTGACTCTTTTGTAATATTTTCAAGAGAGTTAATGAAAGAACGAAACATTATGGTTTTCTGCACACTTTAGCTTACTTTGTGGAATTATCTATTGTGATTATTTTTGGGGCGTTACAGACTTAACTCGACTCGACTTGATATATATATAGTTTAAGTTTGATCAAATCGATCTGAAAAAGTAATAAGGCAAAAACTTGAATGCATTTTATTCATAATTTTTTTTTATTGTTGTTCAATCAGTATGAGATTATGTATCGATCTCATGACCTCTTTAAATGAGGCATGTTAGTATTAAGTTAGCATTATTCATATTTAGTCCTTCAACAGGCTAACTATTACAATAAGATTTTACAAAATTCGTCAAAGTTAGCGAAATTTGAAGAGCCTTAGGAAGGCTCTTTTAAACAATTTGGTAGGTCGTAAGATAGGTTGAATAAATAGTAGCGTTGGAGCTACATAAAATGACAAAAGAAATAGACAAAATAAAAATCATCTTTTATAGTTTAACTAGTAAAATTGAGAGTAAGTTAAAGTTCTCTTACAATATATTCTAAGGATTATATAAATTAGACAACTAATTACAATTAAAAAAAGGTATTTATTTAAGAGAAATCACTTAATTATTTAAGTCAAAGCAAACTATTTTTATATTTAACTCTTTTAGCCAAATAGGATTGCTTGAAGA